TGCACTCTATTAGTGGTTTACTCTATTGACGGTTTACAGTGGTTTCCTCTATGTGTTCTATGTAGCCAAGGGTCCTACTTGGTTGTTCATTCCTAAATAAGCCTGTTATATGTAATCCCCACAACATTTTCTGATTACTTTGACTATGCTTTTTGAGTTATTTCAATATGTTTTCTGTTTTATTGTATTGTCTTTTTGAAAACAATAAACATTTTGTGGGAAAAAAATAAATAAATACCGTTTTTAAAGGAGCAGTGGTTTTAACATCACTTAAAGGGTAAGAATACAAATGAAAAATTCCTTTAAATACTGTGCCTGGGGGGTCCTGTGAAGTGGGGGATCTGTAGGATGTATAGAACCTGCTGCAGCAAAACTGACATTTCTAAAAATATATTACATTTTTTTTTACTCTTGGTGTGCAGTTCCCCCTCCCGAAAAATACCAGACCCTTTAGGTCTGGTAGGAATTTTAGGAGGGACCTTTTTTTAAAAAGCATAGGGTTCCCCCTAAAAGTCATACCAGACCCTTAGGGTCAGGTAGGAATATTTAGGAGGGACCCCATGTAAAAAAAAAAGGTGTGTGGGGTTCCCCCTTAAAGTCATACCAGGCCCTTAAGGTCTGGCAGGAATTTGAAAAAGGAACCCCTCCACCCCAAAAAAATGAGGGGGAACGTGGGGTCCCCCCTAAAATTCTAAGCTAGACCCTTGATCCGAGCATATCCAGCATTGTCCATAACGACAACTAAATAAAAAATAAAACAATAAAATAATTGGGCAGAGTTAGCGGTGACATCTAGATCCGCCCAATTGTGTAGTTTGACGCCATCAGATAGGTGAGACATGATTGGGCAGAGTCCTGGTTTAATACAAGTGGTCTATTCAGAGCGGCGGCGGCAGCGGCGCAACCCCAAACCCCCCCTCCCCACCACGGTTTTCGGGTCCCCACGCGATAGGAGCTCACCCGCAGGATCGGAGCTCACCATAGAGCCCCTAGAGCAGACGAAGAACATCCGTTCTTCGTCTGCTCTGTGTGATCACTGAGACCATGGCGCTGTAATCACAGCACCACCTGTCTCAGCAGTCACTTACTGCAGCTTCTGTCACAGCTTCTGTCACAGAAACTGTCTGCGTCCTATGTACCGGTGCGCCTTATGGAGCGCAAAATACACTAAGTTGTTCACTTTGCTAGCAAATTTTCCCTTAGTGAATGTGGTACAAAGTTGTTATGCATAAGTGACTCTGCATTGTTTGCTTCACAACACTCTTTCAGCTTCAAGGAAAGCTTAACCCTTTCGCTGCCAAGGACGTATGGCATACGGACCTACAAAAGTGCTTCCAGCTGGCCATGTCAGTATGCCATACGGACCTGGCATTTACAGTTCTACTATAAGCTGATGGTCGCTTTAGCGACCATCAGCTTATAGTATAACTGTTCAGCAGACTGTCCCCTTTAAATTAATAGCTGTCATCAGCGGCTCACAAGCCAAACAATTGAATTGTGTATTTTTATCGGTTTAATATTAATTTGAGAAACATTTGCGCAATTATCGCAGGGCCTACAAATTTAGTATCACCATCTTTTTATTCTACCGGGCCTGCGCTTTCAGAAAATATATGGTTTGGGGGGTCTTTTACAAACGCTAGCAACGCAGCAGTTGAAAATCAAATCAATAGGAAAAAATTGCAGAAAATTCAAAAATGGCTTGGCCAGTTGATTTGAAAAATGTTCCAGAGGGCTTGGCAGCGAAAGGGTTAAAGTGACACTAAATTCAGGAGTTAAATCTTAACAATGCATTCAAGTACCCTATAAAAATGTAAAATGTAGCTTAATTATGTATCACTCAGCTGTAGATCCTCAAACCATCTCTGAATTGGTGCTGACACTGTCCTTCCTTCTGTAGGGGGGCTACTTTTGTCTCCCATGGTCCCTGTGTGTGTTGTAAAGTACTCACAGATCGAAGCTCGGTCCCCTTATAGACTACAATCTCACATTTAGTTTACTAATTTGTTTTGAGATGATAGTCTATTACTATCACTTTTTTGTAGATTGACCTTTTAAAAGAAAGCCATACTAAAAGAAATATGAAGGTTGTCATGGCTATCTATCAGATCCACTGATCTTTTTTTTATCATATGCCCAGTTTAAATTTCTCAGGTTTGCAACAAGTTTTCTTTAACTGCTTCACAGACTGAACTCAATCAAGCAGAAAGGTAGACAAACACAGTACAGTATTTGGCTGGGGGGAGAAAACTGACTCAACAGTACTCAGTGTTCAATTATAGAGCAACATGCTCCTACATTTCTGATTCCTGATTTCTGACATTTAAAGTATCATTATCACTTTATCCAAGTTATGAAGATCATGGCAAGTGCACTAATCGGGTATTATAAAATGTAGTGACTGTCTGGGTAGCTAAGTTCAGTTGTTGTCAATGGACATCAGCTAAGACTGGAACATTACACTTGTAATATCTTCTTTTTTTAGTTCAGGATGTAGTGATCTATACAATCATTTGTATTTCCATGAATTTCAGTTCCCTACAAGTCCATGTACATAAGACATTTGACCAATGTTGTTTTGTATTATCATAGCTTCCAGTCGTCTAATTTTTGGATTATAAAATGAAAGGGTAATTATCAGATACAGGTGAAACTCGAATAATTAGAATATCGTGCAAAGTTCATTTATTTCACTAATGCAACTTAAAAGGTGAAACTAATATATGAGATAGACTCATTACATGCAAAGCAAGATAATTCAAGCCGTGATTTGTCATAATTGTGATGATTATGGCTTACAGCTCATGAAAACCCCAAGAACCCCAAATCCACAACCTCAAAAAAGTAGATTATTACATGCAATCAATAAAACAAGGATTGTACATAGAACAATATCGGACCTCTGAAAAGTACAAGCATGCATATGTACTCAGTACTTGGTTTGGGCCCCTTTTGCAGCACTTACTGCAATTACTTTTGCACGATATTCTAATTATTCGAGTTTCACCTGTATGGTTGTGGTACTGTATATCCACATACAGGATATACAAAAATTGTATTATAGACCTACAGACCCTCTAAGCCTGGAGTCCACAGTTTCATGCTAATTTTAAGCTTAAAGATCAAAAGACCAAGGACCAAATACTTGAACCAGTATCTGGCATTTTTGTTTGATATATCCACATATAGTCAACTTGGCGGGGAAGATTACATGGGTTGAGATGGTCCCTGGCGAGGCATGTATATTTTTATCTTTAGGTTTAATTTATTCCAAGTATGGAGACAGGAATCTGAAGTATGAAATATGAAAAAGAACAATAGGAGCCAGAAGAATAAATATGATAAATTGCTTTTCAGAGCTGTAATTTAGGAGCAATGCATCTCTCTGAAACCCTTTTCATTGATGAGCCTGCTAGGTTAGGATCTCAGTCATCAGATATTTCTGGAATGTATACTGTTATTTTACAGTTGACTCACTCCATAATGCACTGCTATGGGACAATTTTTCCTGCTTTATACATATTTACATGCATTTTGTTTCACAAAATGTGTCTACATAAGGTTATTATACTGCAACTGCATCTTGATCTGCATGTATGTTGAATAAATTATACTTTGTTAGTAAGGTTTTCTATGGACTTTATAAGCTTTCTCGGGTTGTTGCGTATTACATTATTTCATTTTTTGCCAGTGGAGAAGCACAATGTTAGTTTACTAATGCCACATTTAGTGTTTTTTTATGCCCGGAGCATTAATTTAAAGAATCAGTCCATGCCTATATAACCACCATTGATATCTCCAAAACCTAGGAAGGGAGTCTGTTATATTACAGCATTTTCTATTACTTATAAAAAGATCTGTAGTATACACACATCAGAGAACCAATAGGGATTTGATAACATCTATATCAAGAATGAGAAATCACATTAAAAGTTTAGCAAAATCCTCAGAACAACTTCATAGACAGACAAAGATCATTATAATAAATGCTGTACAGTCCAGAAAAGGGAGATCTACTCTGCAGCTACTGTACATCCACCTCAGTCTAGTTCAAAATGCTAAAACCAAGGTTTGTTAGAGCGGCAGTCACATGACCCAAAGATAAATTGGACAAAGTTTACTTATTCAGCAGGGAAAGATACAATGAGGTTAATTGTGGAACTAACTTACCCTCTCTTCATTCTAGGTTTGATTTTATCAGTGTTCAAACTGCACCCAATATATCACAATAAATAAATCCATAAATCAATTTAAAAAAATCAAATTCTGTCCATTATTTCTGTGAAGGAGTTAGTATTAGCAGTGCCGTGCCAAATGACAGTTACATGACATCTTAAGTGATAAATGACTTTTAATTTTGCTTCTTCTTGGAGAAAATAACATAAAGGTTTTAGGCTGGTGCACAATATCAGGATTAGGGAAAACAGTATGAGGACCACTCTTGATGTTGAATAGACATAAAATGTAGGTAAAGTCAAAACTTTCATTTTAGTTTTGGAAAGAGTAGGAATGGGTTAACCCATGCCAGTATATTTTTTTTGCTGTGTATGCACCATTGGGAGAATTTCCATTCACTTCCTGTTGCACTTTTAGGATGGGGAGTAAAAGGAAATCACCCAAAGGGAGGCCAATACCCCTCTTAGATAGTTGTCTCCAAAACAGTGTCCCTATTGGAAGATTCCCCCTAACCTCTCGTTCTGGGGCAACTCTAAACCTTTGGATTTCCCCATACTTTACTTCTAGATAACATTTGTCCCCAGTACAAAGGGAGGGGTGATACACACAGCAATTAAAATCTAAAAAAAATTAAAAAGCTTGAGGTTTTGGTTCACTTGGACCTTCTTGAACACAATTAACAAGGAGGAATTATTATCCATTGTGCATCTAGGTAAGAGGAGTACTATTATACTTGCCTGCCAAGACTTTGGATAAAAACTCAAAATATCATTGTATTAGACTTTTTTGCCCAGCTTACTGTCTTCAATAACTTTGTTTTTCAGATGGAGTTTGCAAGAAATATTTCTCACTATTCAAATATTCCCAAAACAGCTGACATTGTTGTTGGAATGGTTTATTTAATATTTGGTAAGCTTTATGGAATTTATATTTAGTGAAATGTTTGTCTGGTATGCGTTCGCTCACTTCTCTATCTATTGAGTCGATGTGTGACAGTTTCATTGTCAGGTGAGTGAGGTGAAAATCACTCACCTCATAGTTCTTCTTTAAAGTTTGAAATTTGGCCAGCGGCCCCGATGGGAGAAAACATTTTGTCGAGTGGCCCTCGAGGGAATTGAGTTTGAGACCCCTGATTTACAAAGATTACCACATCACCACATTATCATTATCACATCGCTTATGTGATAACACCAGATCAAGGACAGAAACACCTAGAAGTCTCAATAGCTGTCATGGAGGAGAAAAAAAAGGAACTGTTTGAGGTGATAAAATAACACTTCACAAGATAAAATAACGATTTAATAGACAATAGGGCATTTGACACATTAATGGTTACTTGAAAAAGTAAAGACTAGGTATGGGATTAGGCATTGACTTGCAGTTGACCTTCTTCTTCCTGTTGAAGTGGGTTTTGTATTCTCATAAACTTAGAAATACAATGGTGAGTTGTTGCCTCAGTAAACTTGTATAGTAATTAAAAACCCACTTGAACCAAACAAAAGCCTGTTGACATAGGCCCTTACACATCCTTCAATATATATGTTTTTCTGCATACAAAATACAAACAGGAGTTCACAATTTTAATGAGCCTACCTAAAGGAGAACTCCATTAAATGGTTTGTACAGTGAAGATTGTTGGAACGGGGAGGAAGATAAGTATTTCACTACACAAGCTGCACTCATTGGGTGGGAGGGATTAATTAAGAGAGAAGTCTAATAAAGATACAGTTGTCCTTGTACTAAAGATACAGTTGTCCTTGCAGCCTAAGGCCCATGTCACACCAGCGATCTTGACACTAATCACAGGATCACTAAAAAATACATGGAGGACACATATCTGCTTTGTATGTTTCGCTCCCTCTATCTCTTCAGCACCCAGACAATGCGCAATCTCTGCAAAAAGCTGAAAAGAAAGTATCACCTCACTCCTCAAGCTGGCGATGGAGCGACACATGCAAGTTCTCTCCGGCGACAGGACCACCAGTGCAGCATGGCCCTTATATAGAGGAAAATATAGATGACAACCAGTGTGGAGGTGGATGTAATTGACAACCATTGTGGAGGAGGATGTAGATGACGACCAGTGTGGAGGAGGATGTAAATGACAACCAGTTTGGAGGAGAATGCATTGTAGATGACGACCAGTGTGGAGGAGGATGTAGATGACGACCAGTGTGGAGGAAGACATACAGGTGAAACTTGAATAATTAGAATATCGTGCAAAAGTTCATTTATTTCACTAATGCAACTTAAAAGGTGAAACTAGACAATCATTGTGGATTCAGTAAGAACAGGATGCTAGCAAACCATATTTTTGCAACACATTTAAAACTTAAATCTATGAATTTGTTGTGGGTCTCTGTATGATAGTTTTACAGTTTATGGAATAAACACAATAAAAACTGAATAACATAACAGTTGTGTCCTCCTGATTCCACCCAAGAAGCAGTGACCAAAGTATGAAATAACTTTTGATAAAAATGTTATTTTTATGATTTGTATACATTAGACAAATTGTGCTTGTGTCATGGTGGGAAGTATGAAATGGAGCAGTTAAAGGCCACTGTAGCTTTAAGACAGAGCTACTGCTTGAGGATCCGAGGGTGCCCATAGACATAATATGGTAGTCAGAAGGCTTAAATGCTTAACCAGTGTTTGTGTAAAGGATTGCTTGGTGGTTAGATCTCCAACAATTTTATCAGGCACACACCTCAGGCGCGTGTCTGATCTTCCACAAACAACAGTAATCATGAAACTCCCCCCTGGCCACTTAAACCAAAGACTGGCGGGCCTACGGATGTACGGCACGGTTGTGTGGTACCTGTAGACACACGATGCTTATTTGGTCCAATCAAAATTGTACAGGTGTTATCTTATGCTTATGGCACTTTATTATATGGGTATCTTAGATTCTTTGTTCTTCTTATGGTGTGTCTCCTGATTCTTCACAGGTCTGTGCTCACTGTTTGGGAACAGCATCTTGCTGTACATATCCTACCAGAAGAAGCAGCTGTTAAAGCCAGCAGAATACTTCATAGTGAATCTGGCTTTGAGCGACCTTGGAATGACTGTAATTCTGTACCCTCTAGCCATCACCTCCAGCTTTGCACACAGGTTGGTCTGCAGCTGTGCTACCAATCACCTTGGTAATGGAGTAGAATTCATACCTCTGTACTAGATCATTTTTCATGGTAAATAGTCAAATGGCACAAATAAATATAAGGAATGGACATTTAATGTTTTTCCCCCCAGTAAATTGTTTTTTCCTTATAATTTGCACAATGTACAGCACAGCCTGTACATTCAATCTTATGAATGAGGAAGCATATTGTTCAATCTTATGAATGATGAAGCATATTGTTCAATCTTATGAATGAGGAAGCATATTGTTCCAAAATGTACATAATATTGTATACTTAAGATATTTATTGACAACAAACACTGTAGTTATGAATACATCTGTCTCTTTCAAGGAGAATATATCTTTTTGCTAGTAATGCATCGTGAGACTCTGGCAGTTGTATATCATTATATATAAATAGCTATTGTTAACATCCTGGGCCTTGCTAGTCTATTCACAGCAGTATGTCTTGTTGCCTCCAGAAATAAGTTCCACTCACCAACAACTGCAGCTATTCTTTGTTTGTATTATTCCATTATGATAATAATTATCTTATCAACACATTTTCAATACCATTACAGTACACATAAACCATTTACATTGGTTTCTACCCAATACCTTACGGTATGATGTCCCTTTGAGTATCATATAGAAATATGCAGACTTCAAGGCGAATATAGTAAACTCACTGATACGTACTTGAATATTAGGGGAAACTAGAACACGCTGTGAGATGTCTGTAACCAATTAATGGCAGGAGTCAAACTGGCCAAAGACAGACAACTGTTTCCTTATGAAAGTCTGTCCATGATAACCCTAGTAACTGCTGCTGTTTCTTGTCCAACTCATCCAACTGACTGAAGCCCCCCAGGAAGATTGGAACAGCCCTGTGTGTGCTACTTCCCAATATGCTATTCTAGGGCTGTTCGTATACATGCAATTTTTCAAAAAAGAAGTCTGATTTTTTTAATTAAAGTTTGTTAAGGCATGTTTTTTAGTTTTGGATAGTGTAGGGAAGGGTTAAAACTTTGTAGGTTTATTTTTGGCTATCTGTGGGGAGATTTTGGTTTAGTTTCTGTCCTAGAGACACACAAGAAGTAGGAGGAAATCTCTTCAAAGTGAGGGAAATTCCCCTTTAGACAGTTGCCACCAGAACCTGTGTCCACATTGAAGATTTACCTTTACTTTTTGTTCTTTTAACAACTAGAAATGTTGGTTTCCACCTCACTTTTTGTTCCAGAGACAAAGGTCACCAGGAACAATAGAGAGGGTCTGTATAGAAGGAGAGGGGTGGGTTTGGAATGCATTGTCTTTTCTAGTCCCTGCATTACATCACTTGCTGTGGTACAGGTAGTGCTGTCTCCTATGCATCAATATATGTTTTATATATATATATATATATATACACATATATATATATATATATATAATGGGAAATGTAGTGAAGGAGAGTGGCATGCTCTCACTGAAATATTGTGCACTGTGGTGGGAGAGAGACACAAAGTAGAAGAAAAATGGAGGAGTGAGGGAGTGCACCCAAAGGGCTTTCTAACAAAAAAAAGGTAAAAGGGAAATCTGAAAATAGAAATAAAAGCGGGATTATGTTAAGGGCTAAAAGGAGAGCACTGTAAAGGCAAAACGTGTTTGAGTTTTCTGCCACTTTAATGAATGGGTTTTAAAGGTGTGCAGGCATACATAAAGAAACATCATTAAAATAGACATATACATGTATACATAGACAGTGAAATATGATACGGACACACTCATAAAAGGGCGCTACTAGGGAGACGGAAGTGGTATCACGTGCCAGTTTTAATTGTTTCAGTGTCTATGTATAAATGTATATATCTATTTTAATTATGAATTAATCAATATTAGTTTTATATTTATGTATGCCTGCACACCCTTAACCGCTTGAAGACCAGGTGTTTAGACCCCCTTCCTGGCCAGGCCATTTTTCAGTATTCAGCGCTGCGGTACTTTGACTGACGTTTATTCCGTCATGCAACGCTGTACTGAAATGAATTTTATACCATTTTTTAGGGACAGATGGAGCTTTCTTTTGGTGGTATTTAATCACCACTGGGGTTTTTATTTTTTTTTACATTGTTATGAAACAACTAATATTACCCACTTTTTTGGTAAAATATAAAAGACGGGGTCACGTCGGGTAAATAGACACCAAACATGTCAAGCTTAAAAATTGCGCGCACTCGCGAAATTGAAAAAACTAGCATACCCAAAATTGGCCATAGGCGACGCTTTAAGCATCGCTGCCTGTTTTCACATGACGGGCATTTCCCGCGTCCGAGCAGGCGGATGTAACAGGACGTGTATACACGCCCAGTTACATCCAAGAAGCTCCCGGCCGGCCGTGTATACACAACGGCCGGCTGGGAGGTAGTTAAAGCCCATTTGTTCCAGTTTTGTTGTATTTCTATTATGTACTGCCTATTGTTCTATTATTGGTGTAAGGCTCCAACATAAGTCACAACAATGTACAATGTGTAAATGCTGACATGTGTGACCATGGATAGTCCTATAACATGACACTCCAGCTATAGAGGACTACAAATCCATGATTGCTGGTTGCCATTCTCCATTGCTGAATAATCATGGATTGCTGAGATTTGTAGTCCTCTATAGCCAGTTGCCATTTTCCATTGCTGAATAATCATGGACTGAGTTACAGTTCTTCATAATTATATAGAAACTGCCCTAAAATCATTAGTCTGTATTATTTTAGAAAAAAATGTTACATGTCCCTTAGGGTTAGGGTTAAGGGATAAGTATCAGTAATTGGTATAGGCGAGTACCTGAGGGAAAGTACTTGTACTTGGTCTTGAAAAAATGGTATCAGGACATCACTATTGATAATCTTACTGTTTTATATCACATTTCTCTGTCTTTGTTTGCAGGTGGATATATGGAACGCATGTTTGTTTGTTTTATGCTTTCTGCGGCGTTCTGTTTGGAATTTGTAGCTTGTCAACTGTAACATTGCTAAGCACCGTGTGTTGCATTAAAGTTTGTTTTCCTACTTATGGTAAGTTTACATATGGACAATTGCACAATTTGCATAATCAGAAATGTGAAAATGACATCAAAATCAGAAAGCTGACTGTAGCTATATTAGTGCACTTGTAACAACACAGCTGAGCTCTATCTATACTAATGGTTAATTTTACAAGACAAGCTTCCTGTCTTCCTTCTTCTGGACCAAAAGTAGGGAGAGGACCTCCTGAAAGATTGTCATTGATCCACAGCATAAGAAATTCTATACAATTTCTTGGACATGAGCACAATGCATTGCTTTTAAAAGCACTCCTATACACCAAGCTGGCTAGTAAAGAAATGTTAAGAAAAATAATTCATGCGGCGTTTTCATAAAGAATGAATCTCCTGTTACTAGTGATGAGCCGAACACCCCCGTGTTCGGTTCTAACTCGAACTTTCGAACATGGAAAAAGTTCTAACTCGAACTTAGAACTCAATGCAAAGCTTGCAGAATTCCCCTTAAACACTTTCAAAAAATAAACTGAAAATGTTCACAGAATGTAACACAGTGCTGGTAAAAACACTGGTCAGTGCTCATTTACTTTTATTCATTGATGAGCATTATTGGCGGCCATTTAAAGCACTGATGTTGTGAATGAGTCACTTTTTTAAACCTGTAAAACAAAAAACTTAATTCTAAAATGATTTGGTTTTCAGGGGATAAAATAAAATTTAAAAAAAGGTAGTGATACCCCTTTAATGAACCTGTACTCCATCTTTCACTTTTTAAAGAAACATCTCAGTTAATACTAGACACAGTATAGCTTCAATTCACACAGCTAAAATACCAGAATAAGAATCCTTATTTTTTTTTTTAAGTGACAGTTATTTTGAGCCCAATGAGATTTAAAATGATAGTTACATGTCTCAAAATAAAGATCCTTATCATTTTGTAAAGCTTTGTGAACCAAGCGTGTTGTTAACTATATTAACCAGCAAAGACATCTTCCTGACTCGAATTTGACCCCTTTTTCAATAAGAGTGTCCTTACTGCCCACTGAAGCAGTCAGGGGCATGGCAGCTAATGAAGCATAGCCATGAATTCCGGGAAAGTCAGGCCCTAATAACAAAGTGAAACTAAATCAGAGAGGCACAAAGAAAAAGCTTTTCTGGCTAAAAAAGTTAAGCGCAGAAAGGACAATTGATTTTTACAGGTTCAGTTTAACTCTATCCTAAGATTATGCAACATATAATGCTCATTTGTGTATATAATAATTAAGTATGTGAATTGTAATTGAAAATCATCTTTTTTTAGGAAACAGATTTGGCCATAAACATGGAAGCATTCTCATTTGCGGTGCCTGTGCATACTCGACTCTTTTTGCCACCTCACCTTTAATTCACTGGGGCAATTACGGAACAGAGCCATATGGCACAGCTTGCTGTATCGACTGGCGGTCCTCTAACGTGAGCCAAGTCGCCATGTCTTACACTATAGTTCTCTTTGTGTTTTGTTTCCTCCTCCCCTGTGGAATTATAATAACTTCCTTTACACTTATATTGATAACGATGAAAGCGTCTCGGAAAGCTGTGGAACGACACAGTTCAGTTCCTGCAAGGATGAGCAATGTGCAGATGATCATTGTAAAGGTAAATAACTCTGCAGAAATGATCAGGCATGGGATCAATGTTAGCACTGCTGTATGATCCACTTTCTCTGCCTCCAGAAAACAGTTCCAAACTGCTCTTATAGATTAACTCTCCTAGGGTCTGTGGATGCTGACATTTTGTTTGGGACTGTACAGAAAAAAATACTGTCCTGTAAATCAACAAGAACACATGTTGGCCATGCTGCATGAAGTGACCCATAGTGAAGGTACCCATAATGAAAAAAACGCATTATTAGGTAGTAGCAAGTAACCCTGGTCATTTTTCTTGGGCGAATTGTTGAATACCAAGCAATGAGCCTCCAAAACCGCACATTATTTGCAAAGCGAGCGGCAGCCATATTGGCCGCCAACGCGTTTTGCGCATGCGCGCCACCATTTTGGAGTGCATCTTGGCATACACCAAGATGGCGATGCCCGCATGTTCGGGTGCCACCATCTTGTCGTATACCAAAATATACTCCAAAATGGCGGCACGCATGTGCAGAATGCCGATGTGGCCAACGCTTGTTCAGCGCATGACGTCATCGTAATGGGACATTATACGCTCCACCTCCAAGATGGCGACGGGCATGTGCAGAACACGTTGGCGGCCAATATGGCCCCTGCGCGTTCTGTAGACGAATTTATGTATCCCCCAAATATAGTTTTCGGATATTCGGGCATATAATACATTTGTTATTTCGGGTTCGGACAAACCGCCAAATCAACTGTATTTCATTGATTTGCAGGTGCGTCCGAATCCGAATGCACATGTCTCCTACACAAGAACATGCATGTTAGGGCAACAAGGTTGTATAAGCCTGTATGTTTATGCACCCATTGTTAAAAATGGGTAATTTGACAAATAAATCATGGTTTTAAGTATCAGGACATAATAAAATTAATCTTGTCCTTACCAGGTCTTAAAATCAGGTGAAAACAACCTCAGATGAACAACAACACAAGATATGTTAGACCATGTCATTATTCATTTTCCAAACAAAAAGCCAAAATGGAGAAGCCGTGTGTGAAAAAGTATGCCTTATAATTTAATAACTGGCAGAACCACCTTTAGCAGAAATAACTTGAAGTAATTGTTTTCTGTATGAGTTTTTCAGTTTCTCACATTGTTATGGAAGAATACTGGCCCACTCTTCTTTACAAAGTTGCTTCAGTTTATTGAGGTTTGTGGGAATTTGTGCACAGCTCTCTTAAAGTTCTGCCACAACATTTCAACCAGGTTGAGGTCTGGACTTTGGCTGGGCCATTGCAACACCTTGATTCATTTCTTTTTTAGCCATTCTGTTGTAGATTTGCTGGTGTGAATGGGATTATTGTCCTGGTGCATGTCCCAATTTCAGCCAAGCTTTAGCTGTCAGACAGATGGCCTCACATTTGACTCGAGAATACTTTGGTATACAGAGAAGTTCAGTCGACTCAATGACTGCAAGGTGCCCAGATCTTGTGGCTGTAAAACAAGCCCAAATCATCACCCCCTCCACCACCATACTTGACAGTTGGTATGAGGTATTTGTGCGAATATATGTTGTGTTCGGTTTTTGCCAAACGTGGCATTATGGCCAAACATCTCCACTTTGGTCTGGTCTGTCCAAAGGACATTGTTCCAGAAGCCCTGTGGTTTGTGCAGATGCTACTTTGCAAAGCTAAGCCATGCTGGCATGTTCTTTTTAGAAAGAAGAGGCTTTGTCCTGGCAACCCCTCTAAACAAACCATACTCGTTCAGTCTTTTTCTAATTGTACTGTCATAAGCTTTAACATTTAACATGCTATCTGAGGCTTGTAGAGTCTGAGATGTATTTATGGACTTTAAAGTGTTTGAAAATGGCCTTATAACCCTTCCTAGATTAATGGGCAGAAACAATTGTTTCTCTAGGGCCATTGTTGATGTATTGCCTCCTTGGTATTGTGTTAACACATACCTGAATGTTCCAGACAAGCAAAATTGTAAAACCTTGGCTTTTCTAGAGGTGGTCACACTTGCTGATAATCAATTAATCAAGGGCATTTGATTAGCAACACCTGCCTGCTACTTAGGCTCCTAATTACTATGGAAGCAGGAAGGATGTACTTAGTTTTTCACACATGGCTTCTCCAATTTGGCTTTATGTTTGTAAAATAAATAATGACACAGTGTAATATGTCATGTGTTGTTGTTCATCTGAGGTTATATTTACCTACTTTTAAGACCTGCTAAGAATCAGATAATTGTTATTACGCCTTGACACATAAAACCATAGAGTTCAAAGAGGATGTACTTTCTTTTTCACACAACTGCACAACCTGGGCATAAGTGCATAAAGCATAAAGAAAATATGCTTACCTGTGGCTCAAGAAACGTTTTTCATCTACAGTATATCAGTGTTTTGCCTGCTATAACCCCAAATGGACTTGTGAAACAAGAGTTTCTGTGTGTTCATGGTCATTTTAGCTATTACAAACTGCACTATCTGAGTCAAAATAGGACCCATCATAATTGCCCCACAATGGTGCATCCTTGCACTCTGCAAAAAATAATATCTGTGTGCTCACCTCTTTTGCAGATGTCTTCTGTCTGATGTGGTGATGTAACAGGTCCTCTTCTTCCTCCAGTGGTGTGTAAATCTTAAACACTGCAGAGCACCTTTCTGTGTTGCATTGTCCTGTAAGTCTAGCGAAGGCGAGGAGGGGGACCTGACTCCCTGGGCTAACGGGAATGCATTAAATGATGCTGAGCATCATCCAACCTGGAAGAGGAGTGGCATTGGAGTGGTGACCAGGTGAGTATGTGGGGGACAGCACCAGAGATAGGAAGAGTATAGCAGCCACAGCATCTTTTTTTACCTAATGCTGGTCAGCAAGTAATTAATTTTTTTGGCCAAGCTGGACGTGGGCTTTAAACCAATTTTGGGGGCTTTTCGTGCTTCCATTTAAAACAAATACATTTATCATGGTATTTCGTTTTTTGTTTTCACTAAATTTAGTTTTGAGGGTGGGATGCAGTAAAGACTGCAGTAAAAAAATGAACCATCCAATACTTTAAGTATTGCTTTTATTCTGATACATAAACCCATATGAGATCAGTTGGACTGTAGAGCTGTTATATAAATCATTTAGATCTTTGCTACTGTAGTTAGATGATAGTATGGTCCCAATATACATAGTGTAATTACCTTGATAGAGAGTTACATATTATGCTCCTTGAGCATAAAATGTAACTCTTAATGTAAAATGCCACTTTCACTTAACAATATAACATATATAATTCCTATATGCCATTTTGTAATTTTCTATAAGTGTGCAAAGTGTAAATGTTGCTTGCATCACAGTATAACTGGAGGCATCCTATACACTGTGAGGGGAATGTATCAAAACTGGAGCAGACAAAATATGAAGCAGTTGCCCATGGCAACCAATCAGCTTCTCTCTTTCATTTTCAAATCTTAACTCAACAAACTAAAAAGAGAAGCTGATTTCTTGTTCTGGGCAACTGCTCCAGATTGATAAATTCCCCTATGTGTATGTAATGAACTTATTTTCTGCCTGTGTGATTAGCTAAGTTACAAACCAAATGTAAGGCATCCCCTGCAACAAGAATTACATTTTTGCTGAAATACTCTAAAGTTTGTTTTCAATTGCAGACACTTTCATTACACCTTTGATACAAACACTGGTCTTTTGTGATTATAACTGACAAAGATCTCAGTACTGTATCTGTAATTAAGACACACAGGTAGGTGTCAATACTCCCTCTGGGGAGGGATATTCTATGGCCAAAAATAGTCCAGCTCTCTTCTGGAGGTGATATTTAACTTTTAAAAAAAGAATAAACATAAACTATGTGAATTCAATAGAATATGTATAGATATTTGTGTTTTGAACTCGTCATTAAAACCAAAATCTCCAGTACCATTATTATGAGCTTACAGAGCTTTCTTTCATATAGTCTCTTTTCACAGATTTCCAGAGGTCTGCTACACTGTACAATGTAGTTTGGATTAAATTGTCTATCAACCATCCCTGAAGTCTGAGAAATAAGCAATGCAGATTTTTCCTGGCGGTTTAATATGCATATATAATACTGTACAAAAAACATAATTCCATGATCATGAGGAATGTGGCTATGTTGGAACCCAGAAGTGTGATAATATTGAAATGTCACTTGTCGAGCTAGGCATAATTTATATGCTGTAATGGTAACTTGTCAGGACCGATACATTCTTGGCACACAGGTCCGCACTGCGCTTTCACATATGGCAGGCAGTATTATTTGAGATCAGTCCATGCTAGCTGCAGAATTTAAATTAAGGAAAATGTTTTATTAATTAACAGTGTAGCCCCTATATAGATGAATATATGTGCTATTGTGTAGATCGGTATTTTTGACTGCAAACATTTAATTGCCTCAGTGTGTAAAGAGGTGCGGAGACTTATGGGGATTGCAGTACAGAGCAGATATGGATACATTGCCGAAGGGACCTTGAGAACTGCAACTCCCAGAGTACTGTGCGGGAGGAAGGGGAATGGCTATGTACTGTAACGGCTGAGAGCGCGGAGTCGGGGACAGGGATCCGAAGTGTTCAGATCGATGTGAGAGAGTATGAGCCAAGACTGTTGGTAGCCGAGCTGTGTGGTCGCCTTTGACAGTCAGGGACACACAGTTTCCACACCGAAGCACTTGAGAGACTGTTCTTAGTTTGCTGAAATGAAGAGTCGGAGATTAAGCGCCTTATCTGTGGCTGAGTAACGCATCAGCGGTGGGGATATCACGGCCTGGTCATGTGGCTGATCCTGCCACTGGAGTGACCCAGTCAGCCCAGCTGAGTGGGCGGATGTGGACGGAGCCAGAGGGGATCGTGTCTGAGATTCCAGATGACCCTAGACGAGTGGTGATGTGTTCCAGGAACCCTAGACGAGCGGTGAGGTGTTGCAAGAGGCCATAGATGACTTATCCTTCATCTTGAGTGTCGTTTCGACGAAAGAGGGACTTCTATCTGCTGGGGA